CTATATCACTAAAGTCACTTCCTTCATCCTCAAACCATTTTAGAACGGTTTCTTCGAACTCCGGATCATCGTATCGTACACGTTTAGAAGGTCCCGCCATACTCGCAAACGCACCTATGCAACACAAATAGCAAACGGGAACGGAAACGTGCCGTCTGACAGACTGCAACAAACTAAAATTGGTCCATATTTTAAGGCACGTTTTGGCTAGACTCGTGTGAATGGGGGTGGGCGATGGTCACTAATAGCTTATGGATTAGATGGGTTTTTACGTCTGTTAGAGGTGCAATAAAAAAAGATACGCTCAGGTATAGAAACGCCGCAGTCTCACAGACGGCACCTTTCCGGTTAAGGGTTAATATAACTCTTATGGGTGGTGCAATGCCGGAAACAATCAATTGTGCAAGGAGTAAACTAGATACTCGTAAAATAATGAGCACGCAGCGCTACGACGAAGTCGATCAAGTGGTTCCACTAGCAGCTCTTGCTAACTTTAGAAAAGTATAGTTGTAACTTAATTATCTCTTACCAGTTATACTAACTAAATCCCCTGGTCCATCCGCCGTCATCCACCCCCAGTATCCCATTGTCGTCCGACCCGTGGTTCTGTTGGGGATTATGTTTGCTGGGTCGTATCTAGTGTTGTTCCGACGCCATAGCGGCGGTCGGTAATCCGTATTAGTACAAAAAATTTGTTCATCGGAGAAGACTACGGTGCTCCAGTCCCTATTCAGGTTCTCCTGGCAGAACTGTAGTCTTCTCCTTCTATGATCCTCAGTGAGGAATGGCTTCACTGCCGGTATCCTTCTGTGGATGCCTTCCTTGTGCAGATATCTACCCACTGTCGTTCTATGACACTGTAGCCCCAGTCTATCTCGCATTGCGAGCGCACTACAAAACCTATGTTCGTCATTGAACGCAATCAGCCTGCTCACGTCTTCATTTGATAAGACGTTGCGTCTGTGGACATTTGACCTGTCGGTTTCCAAACTGCCACCTTCCCTATACCGCCTAATCCAGTTTTGGACTTGTCTTAGCTAATAGAAAAAGTAACATTCAGAAAAGTGTACTATGATCAAAAAGACTGTATAATTTACCGACATATCATACTGATCTGCTATCTCCGCGCTGGATATTCCCATCTCATAACATTTGATGATCATTCGTCTCTCACGCGGGGTTGTTTGTTGTCGAGACATCTTTCTTCTACAACACTACTGCGCTCCAGAACACTCAAACAACAACTGAGAACTGATTATCGAGGCTAAATCCACTAAATGTAAGAGTTAAATAGAAAAATAGGACTTTTTTTCTAGCTACTGTCAATTTCTTTGTGAGCCATAAACACAAAATACAGCTTTTGTCTTTGAGGTGCCGCGCCGCCGACTGCATTAGCGTACGCGCTGGCTGTTCCACTTCCACATTCATAAGAAAAAATTACATGGATTACTCTTAATACCTATTGAAATTTTGTTTCTCAAATGTCTGGTAATATTTTATGACTAAAAACAGGATAGTTTCTTTGATTAATGCATTAATTTGTAAATTGAATCAAGAAGGACTTATTCATTTCTTATTTACTTCGTCGCCGCCGCTGGCTTAGTGCAATCCCAATGTCTAAAGTGGCTGAACCTACCAGTATGACTACAAAGTAAGAAGCATGTAGACCAGAATGCAGTTTTGTATAGACACAGAAAGCGGTTAAAATAAATACTGGTGAAATACTTTTCAGAGCTAATGAAATTAGTTGCAAGAAGGATAAATAGCCAGCGCTAATTTCGTAAACTAAACGTTTTTCATATTTATATTTTATACGAGAATGTTCAGTTTCCAAACGTAACTAAGTTCGGTAGCCTAGCACTTACGGGTTGTCTATTCAATACCAAACATCCAACCTACCATATCAGAATTAATCAAACAACCTGCTTCTCCCTGAATATTGAAATTTGAAAGAAATATTTTGATTTACACAAGCCTGAAGATATATTACAAATAAAGATTTAATCTGATTTGAAAATCACACCATATTGGGAATTTAATTAAGCTTACACCTGATCAACAGCAATAGCCCACCGCCACTGGAGACAACCAAGCCACGCGCCTCTATAGAATGCGGTACCTTTTATCTATAATTTATTGCTCGGACATTACCTTCCAGTATCAATCTTGCTTTTTAGACTGTCTTCGGTGCTAATACAACGTTGCAATTCGGTATTTTTGGAGGCCAGAAGATGCAAGAGGTATGTGCAAGTTGGATTGCTCATCTTTGTACATACAGATGCATTCTGATAACCTGATGACATATTTTCTCTGTTTTTATGTAAACAATCCAGAATTTCGTTTAAAAGTTTCATTCATCGAATTCATGTTTTCACACAACTTCTATACAGGGTCACTTAGAAAAAGGTGGCAATATTTCTAGTATATAACCACAAAGACAGTATAAACATATATCCTAAAATGTTTCCTCACAGGTTTATACATTTCTACGCTACTGATGAGCAAGGCAGAGCACGAACATGCTTCAAATAATGCTATGTTGAGCTATGACAACTCATCTGATGCACTTTATACAATTTTCAACGTTACTGTTCACCAACTTCATTATATTTTCAAGGTAGTACGGGTTGAAGTTTTTATATGGATGTTGTCTAGTCATGTCACCCTTGCAGGCTACCAAACGTCACGTCATTGTCAATGCGGAAGGGGATTGGATATTGTCATTATCAATTTCTTATGATTTTTCCGAACAAAGTTCCTTTTCATAAAGAAAGTGCTTTTAGCGAAAAACTGACATCTATAGAATGTTTACTACTTTGCTTTTCGCAGTCGAATTGCTTTGGTCGCATTTGCTCTGGATACCTAAGACGTTTGGAGCATCGATATCTATTTTTATATATACAGCGGAATCGAAGAGTGAAAATGTTGCTTTGAAATATTGTCTCCAGAGTGCCCAGATTATGTTATTTGCATTTAGGATTGCATGATTCGATAATATAAGTGTAAACTTGACAACTAGGTTATACCTATTGTCTTTTGTGTTTGGGACCGGTATCTGCTTTGCTTGGAACGTAAGAGCTATATAATTTTTTTCGTCTTCCTGCATCTCATCCAATTTGTGGAAAAGCTTATAACCGTTCATGGCAAAAGGTGGTATGTTGAACGTCAGAACAATTTACACAAACAGCAGAACAAAGATAATGTGGGGCAATTACGTCGGTTTTTTTATGAAGAGCACATCATAAATGTGAGTCTGCCTTTATTACCTCTAACAGCAAAAGGGAGGCTTGAGGCTCACCATATGTACGTGAGGTGCTATCAGAGCTTAATGCCACTTCGTTTAAGGGAGCTTCGAATTTTTACGGGCTGTTAGTCTAACGGGAAAATAATTAGATTTCGTGGTGAATGTTACCCACAAAACTACCAGAATACTGTCTACTAGAAAATACGGGTATTCCGTGATAACATAACTGTATGACTGTTCATCATTTATTGACCGATACAGTCCTACAGTAACAAAGGTCAAAGGTGGTCTAGTTTGTGTCACTTTATTTCTCCTTCTCACCACTACTGCTGCCTATAGCCATAATACGAGTATATCGGTAGGGCATCAGAGGTTTGTCCAGAGTTCTTTCATTTTGTGATGAGATAAGGGAACTGACGAATAAGTACAAAGTACCTAGTACCTATGCAGGATGTCACACAACAAACAGCAGCAACCGCTTTTCTGGAAAAGCGAGATTCGATCTTATTTCATGAAGCTCTTCGCCCTAACTTCTGACATTTTTAGTAATCCAAAAAAATAGTGGTGATTTTTCTAAGGCACCAATTAGGTCCAAAAGAATTACGGGCAGTATACAAGGGTATCCAAATAAAATGGGAAGAATCTAACCGAGGAAGCTCGACAATGAACAAGTGCTAATTTCGCACCAATTTGGCCATTTATTTTAAACTGGGACCAACGTACAGAACTTTCAACTTCTACAAATCTTGCAAGAGCAGAAGATGGGCATAATTCCATAACTGGCAGTTTGTTATTCCAAGAAATTTCGAACTGATTCAGAATCGATTCTGAACTCGTTCTACTAGTTCTGGTTCTAAGAGAGAACTAAAAACTTGGATTTGGTAGAACATGCGCGTTTACAGAATAAATAGTGTCCCAAGTGTGAAGGTTTTGTAAATAGGCAAATTAAGGTTCTTGGATAGTTATCGATAAAGAAATTTTCCTGGAGTGTTTGAAAACCATTTCTGACTTTTGTTTCATGGCTTTGATGCGCTTGCAAGGTTTCCGTTCCCACGACATTAGCTTGAAAGCAGCAAGTGAGATAAAAGTTTAGTGCATGTATTACTATTCTCAAAAACAAACAAGGATATCATATACGTGAGCTTGACCTATCCCCCATAGCTCTCCTGCTTCATTTTCTCTGCCATCGCTATCATTTTCTTCCACTTCCTTTCCAAATTTTGTAGCAATATCATGGTGATACATGAGATTCGTCTTCAAAAATTTTTGCTAGTCAGCTCCGAAATGTCTGCTCAGCATTCGCGATTTTCAACTTTTAACATTTGATTTCTTTTAAGATTTCGTCAGCAGGACTACATCACATTTCATCTCAAAAAAAATGTACTGACTGAACTTATCGACAATAAAAAATAAAAGTCTAATATGTGGTGAGAAAAAGCACACCAAGACATAAAACTTTAACGGATTTGTTTTTCAGATGTGCAGGCTCCATTCAACTACTAGGGCCTTAGCGGGTTTTGCTGCTAGGTGAATTTAGTCGTTTTTGGTCTCTACTCACTTATGGAATTAGAAGATTTTAAAACGAGTTGGGGAAACAAACAAAGGTTTTGTAAGTAATTTTCAGGTATCGAAACATTTTTGAGGATATACACCGTGATCTACACTTTCAGCGAACAGGTGACACCGCCATCTCAATCTGGTTAAAAAATGGACTTAGAGGGCGTTGAAACTAGGATACCCAATTAGTAAAACCAGATATTTTTTATAACTGCTTTATTTCACCCTAAAATATTTTTCAAAATCCAAAACCGAAAAACAATCCTCGAGAACAGCCATTTAGACGACGTAGTGAGCAGCTGCTCCATGGTAGGTGGCGACACCGACTGGCGCGTAGGCGGAGTAAGCGTAAGGAGCGGTGTAAGCGACAGCAGGGGCGGCGTAGTAGACAGGGGCTGGGGCAGGATTCGGCTGGGCCTTAGGGGCGGCAACTGGAGCAGCCTCAGGGGCTGGTACGGCTGAAGCTATGGCCACGAGGGCAGCGAAGACAATGGCGAACTGGAAAAGAAAATGCACTGGGTCAGGTTATGGCATGGAAAAATAAAAGTGCAGGAATACTCATAGCCATAGGTATAAAGCTTAACGTATTAGGTAGGTTAGACTACCAAACCAAAATATATTATAGAAACTAAAATCTTACAGAATTTCAAACTATTTATAATGTTCAGAAACTTATAGAAATAGAGTACTTCAAATTTTGTGTGTCCTAGGATTTTGAAAATTCATTTTAGGTCTCAACTGTTTCAGCAATCTGATGATAATAATAATAATAATTCTGTATTGCCCAACAGAAGCATCCATTTATATTGCAATATAAGTGAAAAAGAACAAAAGAGTTCATAAAACATACAAAAATAAAATATTTAAATGTAAATAATTGTAAATTCAAAATAGAAAAAATATTTAGAAAAGGACGACTACCATTTAGACTACCATTAGAGTATGCACATCAAAAGTTGTATATTAGATACTAATATTCATTGGATTTAGTCATTACCTCAGCGATACTGTTATAATGAATATCAAAATTATCTGCTATTGCATTAAAGCTGGAACCCATAAAGAATATGGGAGACCTGATCGAAACATTTGATCTTGGCGTATTCAAATAAAAAGCCGGACATCTACTTGAAGCGCGAGATGGCACATGAAAACTGGGTTCGGATAGCAAGGCCGGAGGGTCAATTTGATTATGGACGAGAATTAAAACCATTATAAGAGGCGTATTGAGTCCTTCCACTTAAGTAGAAAGTGAAAAGTTTCGGTAAAGCCGAAAGCCAAAGCCGAAATATGGCAGCTTGCCAGTAATCTTATTGTGACTAATCTTATCGATCCCAATACAACTGGAGTTACTCCTGTAATTCCTCTTAAATTAATTTCTAACAGCAGTTTCTAAATGAATATCTGAGACTTACTATGCGGTTATTTGTCTTGCCAACAAACCCCCATGTTCTATAGACAGCCAACCGAAACCATAGATATAGGCGTAAAACTCTATTTATTTGGCGGTCAGGAGAACATAAAGATTGAGTAGTTTTTGAAGTAGAGGAATGAATATTGAATAAGCCAAAACCACCTATGAGATGTACCTACATTGGTTTTGCACAGATTTAGTGCGTAATACAGACAAACACAATATCCATGGCTCAAAAGTAAGTATCGCGGAGAAGGTTTGAACCCGCTACGCCTCGTGCTGACCGATTTTATCAGGTCGAAGCGGCCACCGCTTGGCTACGTAACGGCCAGCCCAATTTTGGGATTAAAAACCTATTCTCAGATCTCTAAAATCTACCTAAACGATTTTCATGTCCTAAGAAAAAAATGTGATAAGAATTTACAGTCCACTACTACAAGTGCAATAATTTTAGAAAATAGGTACTCAAAGCATCATTATAACTCCGAATTTTTTATAATTAGAGTTCCCTCTGTATTTTATTTCAAAATATGTCTTCCGAATTATGAAAAGATTATTCATCCTCGTCCAAAAGGAGATCAATTACACGTTATGGTCAACAACTTTTAGCTTCATGATAAAAAGCTTAGTGTAGGATGTCCGATCATAAGCCATGATAAGAATTTCAGTTCATGCTAATCAAGAGGACAATTAAACGTACAAAGAAATTCGCGTAAAGATAACACAAGAACCACAGAGGTTGTGCTTTGTGATGAAAATATCATAAAAAAAAAAAATTTGAAATAGTGATATCGTGTGTACTTACCAGCTTAAACATCTTGAGAACACAATTTGATTCAAGTCTGGATCAAATCACAACTTCACTAGTTCTGCATAGTTCTTTTATACTAAACATTAGCAGTGGGGAGGACTACCCAAAAAACAAATTTGCATCAATAAGATCGTATTTCAAGGATATTGACTAATTTTATTCAGCATTATTGGTAGCCAGCTTTGTCGTCACAAGAAAAAAACTGTGTATACAGGATCATTCATTTTTACTGGTATATGAGATCTGCAGTCTTGTGTATAGGTATGTATTTCGACTCTATCTCATCGAAGCAAGAATCCTACATATTGCTTTTCTCATTTTATAAATAGCGACAAGAGGCTTTCACAGTATCGCTTTTGTTTACGACACAATAGGAGGTTAGACAGTTTCTACGACATTTCCAATACACATATGCACAAGAAATGCGAGGAAAACATTGTTTCCATTTTATTCAAATTCAAGAAGCATCTCGACACGTTTATTTCCCTCTTATTTCCGCCAAAGATCATAGAAAATCTGTTGTGTCATTGCAGAATTTCAGCAGTCGTCAAACCAGTATTAGAAAGTGATCTTCTTTGGAGTCAAAATACGTTACGCTGCCACACGTTTGAAAACCTATATTGCAAAGTCGACAAAAAGATAAGATACGATTTTCAAGAAGGTGAGTATTCTGATCTTCTGGATATCCATGCTGAAGCACCCCAGGGGAGCGTTCTAGGTCCAGTGCCTCTGTATATACCAGATATTCTTGCTATGACTGATGTAGCGGTTGCGGCATTCTCCGATGATCCAATAATGATTGCAGCTGGCGGTTTTATTAAGTTCCGACAGTAAGGTACATACAGCTAACGATAATTTAGTGAAATGGATCCAGAGGTGGAAAATCGATCCACGTTTGGCTTACAAACAGAGGATTGACAAGTCCTCCTTACATAAGCGTTAACGACACTAGTGCCCCATAGCAAAATCATCATCGATCGTCATATCTTAAAACTAGTGTGGTTCTATAGTGTCGAACTTCGTACATCCAGAACTGGCCGATAGACCTCTGCTTTTACCTACTAGCCTTAGGCAGTTCAAAAATCGGATTAACGAAGGTTCTTGTAGCCCCAGGCATTTATGATTCTGTCTCCTGATAGGGACATTCATCGCAATTTGAACATGCCTCTGGTTATCGAAAAGATCAAAAAGGTAGAGTCCAGACACGACGAAAAGCTACTTCAGCAGTCCAATGCAGAATCTCTCCATCACTGGCACGACGTATGAGCATGTGTGCGAGTTCCTAATGATAGCATTAAATATACGTTAAAATTATCTGAAGGATATGAATGTATTGCCTCCGGTTATATGAACGACTTGTAATATGTCACAGGACAGTTAATGATTGACCAAGTCGATCAGTTTGTATTGTTGCAAGTCAATGTAAAAACAAAATAGAAATATCTTCACTGGAATCGGTGTCACAAACTTCTGTAATATTTCGGAAGCGACATGTTTATTAGCCCTTCCGCTCCCGATAAAAGCAAAACACCAAAGTTCCAGTACACTTTCGGTAACCAAAACAGGCTTTTGTCCTAAATCTCAATTGTATGTTAGAATCACACTGTACAAGAATCTGCACACAATAGACTTGTCGTAGGTAAGGTGGGTGTGGTTTGTTTGTTTAGCCGATCAATTAGAACATCATCAGGGAACCATAGACGGATTATGCAGATTTGGGCGAGCTTGTTTTTATTCGTTCGTATATTCAAACTCATTATGTCATTAATAATTATGTGTTACATATACAGGTCTTATCATACCTGAATAAACTATCAGTGTTTCATTGTTGCTGTTCCTGGTTAGTCTTTTTCTTTGTACATTATAGTGCGGATGATCTTTTATTAACTATTAGAATGGAAGCAAGTAGAATAAAGATGAGTTGACTTGAATAATTTGACAAAAAGGGTGAAAATTTAGTATCTTCAAACCTAATAGGGCGTACACTGAATAACTATGAATACCTAATCGTGAACATGTGATAGAAAGATAAGCTGTCCTGAATACTTTTTTATTTTGGTAAAACTGTATCCAAACACTGGTGCAGCTTAAATTTGTGGCCCGTATACAAAAATGCCTTGAAGTACGTCACCCGTAATATGAAATTACCGTTCTGATCTGATAAAATTTCTTAAACATAGTTTTGCTATCTCCTGTGATTTCCATGGGTTACTTCGGAAAAAATGTCCACCACTGGAACCTTTAGTTTTCATTGAACGTCGCTTTTTGTTGGAGTTCACACTTTTTTACTTAAGGAAGTACTATGGGCAGAGTCATCTTAGTTGTAAGATTATAAGTATTAAAGTCCGCAATTTAACACTGATTTAACATTCATTTAATTCTGTAAAGTGTCTTGTCAAGGTATTCACCCCACACAAGTGAGTAGTAGTCAAGGTTAGGTCTTGTCTGTGCTCTGGTACTACTTAAAAGTACTTTTCATAACTAAACAAATATCCTAGCGTTTCCCAGCAGCTGCTGTGAATGTCGAGATGAGCCAACATCATATGAGTCTCATTAGTCCATTTTTCAATTCTTATTTTACTACGCCAAGATCATTAAAAATAATTGCTTCACACTTTCGTGAATTTAAAACTTGTTGAAATGGATCGAAACATAAAATGCTTTGATATCGAAGTTCGAGAACTTGTTTTTCTAGCATTACTGTATAAGTTCATCGCTCTTCTTACCCAAATTGGATCAGCCAAACCGTTCAATTTTAAAGCAAAACCGACTTTTTAGGTTTTTATTATTTCTCACACGCATTTGAAAAGGCCCTAAGTATCAAAATCTATATCTATCTATAATATAGTCGAAGTGGTCAGACTATAAATATATCCCAAGTTATATCCCAGAAACTATATTCCTTGCACAATCTGAGAAAACCAAGGGCCAATTGCGTCCCGTTTTCCGAGCTCCAGGCTGCAAAAATTCCAAGTAAATATTTCATTAATATATTGTTTTTTCTGTTTTTACACTACCAACAGCGTGACTTAACATAATGATATAATGGTGCAGTTGTTATGTATATTCAATACGTAAGCGATTATTTTCACAGGTAATATGTATGTATGTTACAATGTTGTTTTCACTATGAACAGTAAAATTACATTAGTAATGTGAATCTATGAGATTTCAATTTTTTGTCTAAAATCCCAGGACATAATATGGAAATGCCAGGTAACCGATGTAACACGACCTTTCACGTTACGATCCGTTGTGGCTGGTGATACTAAAACTATTAGATAAGGTTTACAGCAGAAAACAAGATGATGATATTGTGAACGTGTCGTTTGCTTTATATGGTTGTATCTTCTCCAAAATGTGAAAAGTGATGTGAATATTTGTGGGAACATTGTACTGCATTTCGGAATATACCCCGCTATTTTTCTGTTAAATTCAGAAATTCTGAATAAGTTTTTGCGCTATTGTTGAATTTGCTTGGGCCACGTGGGCCAGTAGTACTTGATATGGATTATACTAGTGGTCATCACAAACAAAAGCAATGATTTGAGCCGACTTTTTCCTTTTTTCAATTGCTCATTTTTATTTTTACCACCAAATTGAATACATACGTCGCTTGTTCAGTATACCTATAGGATGCCCCTTTTGGAAGCAAGTTGTTATTGTAGTAATTTGAGTACAAGTCTTTTTAGGTGGTTTGTATTTTAAACGGTTATAATATGGTGTTCATTTTAGTGCAGCTATGTTTTCTAATTTAACGATATTAGATGAAGCTAATGTCAAACAGTTATTTCATCCAGTCCTTTAGAAACATATTGGAATACAAATTCCAGATTTTGAACAAAGCTATTCTTAAGAAAATATTCCATCAGCTATAGGACTTACGCCTAGTATCTGCAACAGCTGTAATTCTCCTTGCTTGTATGTGGACCACCCTGTACAATGAACTGCATCATAAATTATGTGGGAAGATAATCCAGTTTACGTATAATATCATAAAATATCAAGTAAAAACTGAATAATGTATTATGGTATATCATGCAGCATGAACTGCGATCCCATTACTTGTTATGTATACTAAGTGACATATAAATCCGAACACCCAGTTTAAATGGTTTTATTTTAATAAAATTTTGTATAAGTACTTAATGAAGCATAATAAGTAAATGATAAAAATTTCAAAATGATTGCCCTGCTTTAAAGCCCTTTGACCTTTAATAATGTGTGGATGCACCCTGATGTGCTACGCATTCTCCATCGCGCCTAGGCATGCTTCTGATCAGGTGGTCAGTGTCCTCCTGTGGTATCTCATATCAGGCAACCACCAACTCATCTCGAAGTGCTTCTAGAGTCTGAGAAGGACGTTGAAAATTGAGCAATCTCCTACCCATCATATCCCACACGTGCTCAATTGGGGATAAGTCGGGAGATCTTGGTGGCCATGGTAACAATGTGACATCATTATGTTGAAAGAAGTCTATTGTGACTCCTGCAACATGTGGCCGGGCATTATCTTGTTGGAAAGTTGGATCTGCCAGGGTGTCAAGATAGGGTAAAAGATGGGGTTCTAGAACTTCGTGGATATAACGCTGCGCGTTCATGTTACCTCTGATGAAGATTATAGGTGACCTGGAACCATAAGCTGTAGCACCCCAAACCATAACTCCAACAGTGTGATGAACATGTCTTTCAACAACAAACTGTGGATTCCTCCTTTCACCACGTCGCCTTCTAACCCTGGCACGACCATCGTGCATGCCTAAACAAAATCGAGACTCGTCACTAAAGACAATACTGTTCCATTCCTGATCCCAGAGTGACCGTTGTCTGCACCACTCAAGGCGATTACGTCGGTGTTCTCGAGTTAAAGGGAGGACCCAGTGTGGCCGGTATGAAAAAACAAGCCAAAGCTTCTCATTCGTCGGTAAACACTTCGCATGCCAATAGGTCTTCCGTGTTCTGCAAACCATTCATTTGCAATGGACCTGGTAGTGGAGAAATGGTCCCTCAAGGCCAATAATCTTAGGCGGCGATCTTCACGGTCTGTTGTTCTACGGCGGCGTCCAGTGCCCCTTGCTCTTTGCGTACGGCATTCTCGAAGCCATGCCTGACAACACCTAACCACGGTGTCTACACTTCTTTGCACTCTAACTGCAATTGCCCGAAAAGAAAGTCCAGCTTCCCGAAGTCCCACTATACGGCCCCTATCAAACTCACTAGGTTGACGAAATCGTACAGGTCTCCGTACTCTAGGCATCGTAAC